GCACTAGAGTAACCAAGAAAATTCCATCATCTGATTTTGGATCAAATTTTCCTAAGGTAGATTTTTCATTATTATATATGAACACCTTACATCACAAAACATATAAATGTGACAAATTAGGTATTCTCTCCTTAAGAAGCTCATTGGGTGTTTTGTTCAATTTTGATATAATGTTCACCCTATTCAGAACATAATATGTAGTACTGACTGCTTCAGGCCAAAAATATTTAGGAAGCGAATATTCTACCAACATGGCTCTAATGGCTTCAATAAATGTTTTGTTCATTCTTTCGACTACCCTATTCTGTTGAGGGATCCTCGGAGTAGAAAAATTGGGATCAATTCCTTTTTCTTTATAAAAATCTTCAATTATTTCATTTTTAAATTCACCTCCATGATCACTTTGAATTGTTAAAATCTCACACCCCAGTTTCCTTTGAATTCAACTCAAAAAATCTCTAAACTCCTTAAACGATTCACTTTTATGAATTAAAAATTTAACCCATATAAATCTAGTAAAATCATCTACTATCACAAATTTGTATACCTTCCCTCTTAGATTTAAAGTGCTAACCGGTCCAAAAGATCCTTATAAATAATCTCTAATGATTTGATAGCTCTAAGATCCTTATTGGAATGAAAAGAGGAGTTTAACTATTTTCTAAATTGACAGGCATCGTAAATGTGAACCTTAATAAAGTCTTATTCAGTATACCTCTAACCAAATCCTTTTGGGTAATTTTCCTAAGGTTTTTCATGTTAGTGTGACAAAGTCTCCTATGCCATAGCTAAGATTCATCAGAATTTATTTTTAAACAAAAAACATTAGGAGTTTTAATACAGTTCAAATCAAGCATATAAACATTATTTTCTCTTATTCCATGCAAAGCATCATTTTCATTTAGACTTATTATGTAGCTAGTGATAAAAAAAATTTTATACTATACCCTTTATCACATAGCTGGCTAATATTTAATAAATTATGCTTTAAGTCTTTGACAATAAAAAATTTTTTATGAAAAAAATCTATAAGTTTTTTGTTATACCTGTGCCAACCACTTTCCTAGTGGTTTTATCTCCCAATATAACCCTGTTTCCATTCCTGACTTTTAGTATTATAAATTATGTTGTGTCTCCAATCATATGCTTCGAACAACCACTATCTAGGTATCAAATGGTCTCATGTGGCCTTGTATAAGAGCAAACTTACAAAATAATCAAATATTAGACTTGGGAACCGAAACAAGTTTGGGTTCTCCTTTTGGCAAAATAAAACTTGATGCATATATGATATGGCTTGGTTTATGCATCTTAGGTCTCCACACTAAATGAGTTTTTCTATGTAAAGTATAGGTGTGTGTAATATGTCCAATCATCCCACAAGAATAACATTTAACTCTTTTTTTTTTTTTTGAAAACTGCAGAAATTGCATTGAAATTGAACAAAAGCAAACTAATTACAAATGCTATAATGATAACATTCCTCCTTAATTAACTCAAGCAAACAAGAATGAATGTTATCAAAAGAGAAACTATCAAATGTTAAACTAATATCTAGTGCCAAAGTAGCACAAAAATCTGCCAATTGGTTACATTATCTATTAACATGATGAAAAACAACTTTATTGAAATCCTTAAGGAAGAGAAGCTCCTTAATCGGACAATTCTCCATTTGCCACTCCACCTTCTTCAAAGAATTCTAAATGTGTTTAATCACATTGATGTTATCACTTTCAACTATAATACCTTTGCTATCCAACATCCAACTTTGGATGAATTCTCTTATTACAGAAATAGCTTCTAGCTCAACTTGAGCAATATCCCAATGAAAAGTATTCTTACCGAAAGCAACAAGAATTCTACAAATCTCTGAAAATCCCACCAATGCTGGCCATATAAGAAGGAATCCAGGAAGCATCCACATTAATTTTAATCCAATCTAGCGGTGGAGGGTGCCATGTTATAGAAGACTCCCGAGAGAGATTAGCACCCCAGCTATCTAGATACAGATTAGACTTAAATGTTGAGAGAGAAATGACATTAGCTTCCACCAAGCTAATGGACATAGCAGCTCTATGATGCTTCACAAATTTATGGTTTTTCCAAGATAGAAAAACAGTTGTGCAGTAAAGTCTCACCATGCTCTTATTCTTTGCCGAACTCCTCTTCATCTTCTCTAAGCATTCATCCAGGGAATGAAACTTAGGAATAAAAAATCCCCATCCTTTAATAGCAACAATAACCTCATCAAGGTATTTGAAATATACCATTATATGTTCATAATTCTCCACCTCTTGACACCCTCTAACACAATAGTCGTCAACAACAATTCTTCTATACTTGAAGAAATGATTGGTAGGTATAGCAAATTTACTTAATCGCCACCAAAATAATTCCACCTTGCTATTAAGCTTGATATTCTTTAACCAAATAGAAAAACCTCCATCATCATTCATATCTCTGTTATTAAGAACAAAATCATAAGCCAAGGCTTATAAGGATTTACCCGACAACTTGCTGATAATTTCCAGCATATCCTTCTTTTCCAGTGAATCAATTTCAACTTGCTTAATAAGAAATATCAAATTTTCATGAAAGAACATCTTAAGTTTCACCTCATCTCAATTACCTTCTACAGTGATCAGCTGCTGCACCATCATATCTTCCAAGGATCTACAATCCAGAAAAGTCGGCCAGGCATTTAAATTTCTGTCTAACAGCCAAGTATCACCAAGACCATGGATACGCTCACCACTTCCCACCTTCCATCTCACAATATTCTTAAGTTGCATTCCACCATCTATCAGTATTTGCAAAGCACTGGATGTATTTGGTTTACAAATTCCACCCATTACCACATCAACATACTTGGCTATAATAGTTCGGTGAAGAAGAGTATCTAGGTCCTGAATCTAGTTCCAAGCCAATCTAACCCACAAGGTACCCATTATGATAGCTAAGGATTGCACTCCCAAACCACCTGCACTTCTTGGCTTACAAATCTCACTCCACAGCACATAATGTTATCCCCTCTTCCCATCCGGTTTGTTCCAAATAAAATTTCTACACATCTTTTCCATCTCATATACAATTTTCTTGGGCACAACAGAATGAGTGAGTAGAAAGTTAGGTATCGACAGTAAAGAAGTTTTCAACAAAGTAATTCTACCACCCAAGGATAAAGCCTTCTTACCCCAAACATTTAATCTATCCATAACTTGACTCAAGAAATCAAGAAATTCTGCTACCTTTAATCTCTTTAGAGATATCTTGATACCCAAGTACTTTCATTCCTTCACAACCTTGAACCCGAGTATATCAGCCACCTTCATTTTATGATGTCTTCTAACCGCTTTCTGAAACAGAATTTGGGAGTTATTGATGTTCACTTTCTGCCTCGTCCATCTACAAAATTCTTTAACAATTTCCTTCATCAATCTGGCCAAAGAACATAAAGCTTTTGAAAATAAAAGCACTTCGTCCGCATATATGAGGTGTGTCACCTTAGGACCTCTTGTAGAAATCTGGATACCTAGATCTTTTCCCCATTGCTCAATACAGTTTGATAATAATTGCTAACACATTATAAATAAATATGGGGATAGTGGACATCCCTGCCGAAAACCACTACAAGCACAGATCCAATTCATCATCTTCCCATTTAAGATAATAGAGAATCTCACATCCACCATGCTTTCCTTAAGAAATCCTGAGAAAACTGAAGGGAAACCAAACCAATTGAGAACATGAAGTAAGGTTGGCCACCCCATACTATCATAAGCCTGCTCCATGTCAAGCTTCACCGTCATAAATCCTTTTTTGCTCTTATAAATTTTAAACTTATTAAAGATCTCATGGGCTAGAATACAATGCTCAGACATAGATCTACATGGAATGAAAGCCATATGCTCTTCAAAAATCATCTTAGGCATAAGCTTCTTCAGCCTATTAACTAGCATGGTGGCAATAATCTTATAAGTTGTTTGACACAAGTTGATGGGCCGAAAATTAGAAGGAAGATTTGGATTCTTCGCATTGGGTATGAGGACAATCAAGGTATCCTTCCACTCCTTATGTATACTACCAGTATTAAAAAACTTCCTGATAGCCTTCCATGTAATGTCACCAACTAGCTTCCAATAGCATTTGAAAAAAGAGAAGGCAACTCCATCCACCCCAGGTGATTTGTTATTACCTTGTTGAAAAATAGCCTCCCTGCATTCTTCCAAAATAAATTCTTCTTCCAAAAATTTTAAATCCAGAGAGCTCAATTTCTGCTCTGCATGAATCCTTCGCCAACCCGACAGTTGGCATTCACGACTCCTCTATTTTTTCTCAAAAAATTGAATAAAAACCTGCTCAATCAGATTCTCATCTTCCACCATTTGGTTATTCTCAGCTTTAATTTGCTTAATTAACTTTGCATTCCTCCTAGCTGATGCAAAGTTATGAAAAAAATTTGAATTAGTATCCCCCTCCTCTTGACATCTAGCGTTGGCCCTTTGATTCCACCATGTAGACAATCTTCTAAGAGTAACATTGAGCTCATGCAGTTTACTCTTAAGTAATACCAAATCTTCAACATAAAAGATATGCACCGAAGCCTCCTTGATCTACAACTCCAAAATTTTCCGCTTCAACTCTTCTTTCAAAATACATAAATCCTTACACTTATTTTTGCTCCAAAACAAAAGAGAACGCAACGTCCTTCTAAGATTTCTTTTAAGGACCTCCACTTCGTCCCCGAAATCCTTTTTCTTACAAGAATTGTAAATAATCTTCTAAGCAGCCAGATAAGACCTCCAAGTGTCTTCAAACCGGATGAACCTTATTTTGTTGAGCTATCCAGTTTCCAACTTAAACATAATTGGACAATGGTCTGACGCCTCCTGAGCAATATGCCACACCTTTCTAGAAGGAACTAACTGTAGAGATGCCAAATTTATCAAGAACCTATCCATTCTTTCCCAAATCGTTGAAGCTCCCTCCTTGTTGTTGCACTAAGTAAAATTTGGTCCAACAAAACCTACATCATGCAAATCAGAGTTAGTCATAAAATCCCTCATCTCCCTAGATCCTCTAGACAAGAGGAACCTATTTCCACCCTTCTTTTCATCCCTGCTCAATATATAATTAAAGTCCCCTCCTACCAAGGAAGGACCCATCCCAGCCAAGGAGCTCTCTAACAGCCTCCAAAGACTCCTCCTCTCAACATAACAATTACTACCATACACAGTACCCACTTTCCAAACCCCACAATAAGGAGTGGTGAGATCCCCAACATCCATTTGAGAAGAGCTCTCCTCGACCACAAAAGAAGCAACATTTTTATCCCATAAAACCAGAATACCTCCAGAATTCCCTACAGCAGGGAAATGGAAGGAATCCCAGCTACCACCAATGATGATGTCCACATCCCTTCTATCAACCTTATTAAGTTTAGTCTCCATAATCCCAATATAAAAAACATCATAATCCCTAACAATTTGCTTCAAGTATAGAGAGTCCTCACTTTTCCTGGCCCTCCTACAAATCTAGAAAATGATGGAAGACATTAAATCAATTGAGGGGAAAAGTCCCCACCTTTCAAACCTCCTTTCCCATCTCTTATCTTCTTCCTATGCTTAGGTTCAAGAGTTTCCAGTGACTTCACCTCTTTGGCCAATTGACCTTAACCACATTACTGCTAATAGCACCAGCAATCTTTACACCATTCATGACTGCATCAGACTACTGCATTGCCTCCAAATTCTCTTCAACAGCTACACCTTCTCGTGACTGCTCCTCTGTGAAATGATTAACCTTTTCACCTTCTTCAATATCTTCTACTAATGCTTCAAACTTATCATTAACTTCAATATTTACACCCAACTCCCCTTTATCCTTTATCACATTATTATGTTTGCCACTATCCAAGCCCAATAGCTTATTCTGTGCCATATATGTATTCACCTTATTCACAACTTTCATCTCTGTACTCTGCCAATATTGATTTTTCATTTTAAAATTCCTTCCAGTTCTTCCACCCTCTGCAATTCTTCTATTAATACCTCTCCTGTTCTTGAAACGAACCTGCATCCAGGGACCAAACTCACCCCGTGGGCATCACCTCCAACATGAACAGTTTCAGCACTAACTGTCTCTTGATTACCTCCTGTCTTCTCACCAATAACTGGCCTAACAAACGCTGGACATACCTTTCTATTGTGACCAAGTTGCCACATTGAAAGCAAAATAATTCTAATTTTTCATACTCAACTTTCTGAAAAAAATGGCCTGTTATGCCATCAATCCAAACACAATTCGGTAGGCTATTCTCCAGGTTTATTCTAACACATACCCGGGCAAATTCACGTTTTCCCCATTTAAATGAGTTTCCATCCACATACATTGGAACACCAATTCTCATTGCAATTCTAGCAATGTTCTCTTCATCCCAACAATAAAGAGGTAAACATGGAAAACATACCCAAACCGGAATAGTCATTCATTTAAATGAACTGGGATTGAACAACGGTGACCACTTGTCCATCCCCATAATATATCCTCCCACATACCACAGACCACCATTCAACACTTCCTCCATTGCCTCCTCGTTCTTAAACAAACATGGGATCCAATTCATACCAAGCGATGTCATGTGAAAGCTCCCAAATCTATTCCACTGCCTCCTCAGTTCAATGTTGCACATAGGAAATGAAATTTTATCTCCTAAAACCTTTATAACCATAGAGTGTTTTAACACTTGAGAATTCAACACTTTCTTCTCAGCGTTTAGTTTAACTGCAATACCATCCTCTGACATCTCACCAAGATCCTTGTTAAAAGAGATCTTAATATGTTGGGGTTTCTTCCAAGCTCAACTGAGATCATTTTTCAACTCATTGCTCTGTGCAATTCCATCCTCATTCCTGCTCTGATTACCTTCTATCACCGAAATCTCCTCCAGAGCATTGCTATGACATTTCCCCTGGTTCTCCACATCATCTATCACCGAAACTAAATTACGGCCAACAAGATCCTCATTACTTTTATAGAATTTACTAACCTTCAATATCAAACCCGTAGAAGAAGAAACATCAACATTGTGATGTCCATCAAACCCTCGATCCATAACAAGATCACTATGACCTTCCAATGTGTGATCCATCACTATCTTCTTACCCTTCCATTCCACGACCACTTCTTGGCTAACCTGAGGTCAAGTAACCTCCCTGATTACCAGATTATTTCCATATCTACCACCCAGTCGATCTGTGCCAGAAGAGCAAGTCTCCATTCGACAATCAACACCAGAAGAGCGGTCGGAGGATGGCCGATCATCATCAGTCCGATGAATAGAGACCATGAGATCAAATAACCACCGACCAGCGGTCGGCCAACACCAAAACCCAAATAATATTTAACTCCAAGAAATAAGTTTCTCAATTTTTTATAATAACTCTGTCTCTTTCTGGGTTTTGAAATTTTTGATCTCAAAATAGGTTTATTAAAATCTTCAAGTGTTGGGGGTTTTCTATTTTCCTCAAGAGCTTGCACTTTCAATTTAAGAAATATGTTTAAGTCTTTTAACACATTCTTGTCAAAATTCAAATTGTGCTCTATACTCTCAGATTCATACTTTAAATTTTTAATTTTTTTTCCAATTTTGTATAGGATGATTTTAAAATATCATTCTTTTTTATCAAGTCATTGAATTCATTAAATAAGCTCATGTGGTTATTACCTATCAGTGCATGATCTTTCCTAAGGATTTTATGTTCTTTTTTTAATTATTTCATTTCTAGGTTTAGAATAGCATGCATTTTCTCAGGTTTTCTATATGCATCATGTATTCCTTTAGAAACTTTTAAAAATTTAGCATAGGTTAAATCACATACATCTTCTTGATCTAACATATAAAGATTATCGGCCATTAAATACAGGTTGTTGACTTCTTCCTCTTATTGAAATCTTAACATTTTTATTGAACTTACTTCTGTTCCACTACTGGCATCTCCTCTACTTCCTTTTTAAAAAACTTTTTAATTGCGTAGTCATTAAGGCAATGTTGTCCTCATCCTCAGGTTGACTGGTCACTCTCTGAGTCCAAAACTTTAAATATTTTGTTCTCTAATTTCACTGTTCACCTGCATCAATCTTCCTTTGACTCACTCCTTGCTAGTAAGTAATTAGTGATCCAAGAAGATTATCAATAGAGTAAACATTTAAATCCTTAAACTTTATAATAGTAGTTATTTTGGCATCATAATCAGTAGGAAAACAATGAAGAATTTTATTGACCATTTCAGCATTCATTAGTTCCCTACCTAATGCATGTAAAGAAGTGACTATGTGAGTGAACCTTGTGTACATGTCAGAAATAGTTTCATTGGGTTTCATGCAAAATAATCTATAGTCATGTAACAAAATATCTAATCTAGATTACTTTACTTCATTAGTCCCTTCATAGGTATACCAAACCTATCCTATATATCCTTTTCCACTTTTGCAATTGAAACCCCGCATGTAATCTTCTAACTTAAGTGCATAAAAGAAACTATTTAAATATTTTGCATTTAATTATGCTAAGTCATGTTCTTCTACAGTCCAATCAGCAATGGCTGTTTCAACTATAATGCCATCAACTAATCTAGTTGGTCTAGTATACCTTTCTTGAACTAAAATTCACATGTAATAATCTAGTGATTACAAAAATATAGACATGCATGTTTTCCAAAAATCAAAAGAGACATCAAATAATGGAGGTCTAGTTATCGAATATCCTTTGGGTGTGTTATGATTTCCAAAAGTAACCATTCTCATTTTTTCAAAAAGTAGTATAATCTTATGGTTTTGAAACAAAGCTTTGATACCACTTGTTGAGACTTGATTAGGTTGTTAAACCTAAACTAATGTCCCAAGGTTAACCAAGAGGGGGGTGAATTGATAATTTAAAAAATATTCATGGATTTTAGATTTGAAAACCAATGATCTTATAGCGAGTTAATTAAAGTTTCAAAATAACTTTTCAACCATAGAAAAATAACTTATTGTAAATAAATGCAGAAATTTAAAAGATAAAGATTTAGAGTGGTTCGGTCAAACACGACCTACATCCACTCCCTGAAGACTCCCTCTTTAGGTATTGCACTATTACCAAAGTGTCTCTCCTTTTTCCCCCACAGCAAGGCAGAGAAGCCTTTACCAAATATCTCTTCCCTCAATCCCCAGTGTGGTAGAGAACCATCATCCTTTCACACTCTCTAAGTGTTGTTAGAGAACCATCATCCTTTCACACCCTCCAAGTGTTGGTAGAGAACCATCTTATATTAATAAATATAACAGCTATTTTATTATTTTTAATAAGGTTTCTCAAGATCAGATACGTGTAATTAAGAATAGTACTAGTTTCTTACAAGGCTTCTTACCTCTTAAGTACCTTGAGGTTCCTCTTTACTAGGGTTGGAAAATGACTTTTCTTTTGTATGACCTTATTTCTAAGGTTCATAATAAGCTTTATTCTTGGAATTCTAATTTCGTAAGTTTTGATTATAAACTTTTTCTTATCAAAAGTTTTTTGTGCTCTTTACATGTGTATATTTTTCAAACTTTACAACCTATCCATGCAGTCTGTAATAGGATTGAGATACTTATTAATAAGTTCTTTTGGAGTGGTTCCAATGTGAATTCTATAATTATTTAGACATCTTGGAATAACTACTGTGGTGTTCTTGAAGAAGGGGCATTGGGCTATAAGAATACGTGGGATTTATCTAATGCTTTCTCTTATAAACTATGGTTTAACTTTCTTGCCATTCTTTCTCTGTGGGCCATGTTCATAATTGAGAAGTATTTTGTTGGTAAGCATCTTGCTGTGTTATTATAATATTAGTGACTCGAGGGTGTGGAAAAGGCTTCGTAACATCAAGTGGAGTGTTAAACCTCATGTGAAATTGGAAATTGGTAAAGCTAACCTTTTCTTTTGGCAAGATTAATGGCTTGAAGGTTAATCCATTGAGTCCTTTATTAATTCTTTCTCTACGACCACTACTAAAGTAGTTGCTTTAATCACTAATAATAGTTGGGATTTCAATAAATTAGTTGACATAATTCCTAATACTATTATTGATAGAATTTTGAATCTTTCTCTTAAAACTGACTCTATGGATTTATTATTATGTGATTTATCTTACAATGGTATGTTTACATTAAAAGATTCTTGGCAGGAGTTCAATAGTTACTTTTTTCCATTCACACATACCTTCTGAGAGTTCCTCAAGGGCGAATATGGATCCTTGCTTTGTAGAGGCGGCCGATCAAGCCACCTATCAGAGGTACAAGATTGCCGGGATCACTGTTTCCTGGACTGTCAACCCAAACATTCTTTCATATCATGTCCATGATCTTTTTGCCCATATTACCCTCACCTTCCTCCTTAGTCTCACTGTCCCTTTCAATTCAGAATTACTTTTTGAATTTTTTTGCCAGCCTTCGCACAAATTCCTCTTTCACTACTCTCGAGTCCTATGTGAATTGACATCCCGTTAAAATCACATATCAGGACTGTCAAGAGAATTTACAAATTTCCACCACAGGGGACAACTCCACACCATGTGTTTCGATCCTGACTAGGACTAAGCTCCGGCCAATCACTTTTTAAGAAACACCAATGCTCACTTTCACGTTAGAGAGTCTAGTAGCTTACTCAAAAATGCGAGGACAATCCAACATTTCCT